CGGTTGACCGTTGGCGCGGCCAGTCTCGGCGCACGGGTTACCCTCCACGCCGATACTGGCCTCCAGTCCTCCCAGTCCGGGGCTATCGTCGGACCAGGAAGACCTTATTGCCTTGGAGAGGATCTCCGAAGAGATCCTTTCGGGGCCGAAGCCCCGGGCCAACTCAATCGATCACGCGATCGATCGCTATCTAAGTAGTATCGGGTCGCGGTGGGTGGTCTCGGTGGGGGGTCCCCACCTCGCGGTGCGCGGCTGACGGTGCGCGGTTGACGGAGCGCGGCTGACGGAGCGCGGCTGACGGAACGGCTCGTGACGTATTCGTCACAACGGGAATTCTATTATTCTAGTATCTATAATTCTATTATCCGCCGATCGCCTCCCAAGGAATGGACGGAAGAACCTCGGACGCCTATGGTATAACTTTAAAAAATTATTAAATTGTAAAGTCCGGGCGCCAAAAATTATGTTCCGTAATCTGTAAATTTTTTTGGCTGCACTTCCGAATGATCCCCATCGAGTTGAGTTCTGAAATTTTGTGTGTATATACAACTTTTCATGAGAATTCTATATCCGTTCTCAGAATCAACGGGTCTCTTACGGTTCGCGAGAAATGTGAATATTGCGATTCGCATTTGAAGTTCATTGCAATATTAACACATTAAGCACCTTTTATGCACCTTTCCTCCTGTCCTTTGAAGTGTGTATACAGTTTTACTTGTAGCGGCATCATTGTCCTAGTTCCAAAGGAATATAAATTAAAACAAAGTAGTCCTCCGTTTATTTTCCCCATCACAAATATTGCGCTCGCCGCCAAGTATTCGCCCACAGCCGGCTAAGCCAGGGGTCGGCAACCTGCGACTCGCGAGCCACATGCGGCTCTTTCCACATGCGGCTCTTTGGATGTGAAGCTGCGGCTCTTTAGTTCTATACGCAAATATTATTTGTTTTATCAAAAAAAAAACATTTAAAAATCGTTCTGAATCGATTAACGAGGATTAGGCACCGATTCTATCTCTCAACCACTTGTACTCGCTTTTCACCGCATCCTTCCCCGCGACGCGTCGTCGGTGTCGTCAACTGTTAGTGTTGTAAGTAATTGTTTTAATTTTTTACTTAAATAATAAGTAATTATCTAATAATGCCATATATATTATATTATCTAATTTGTTGTGAAAAACACTACTTATATATGAATAAATAGATACTTTTTCTTATGAATAAATAGATTAGTTTTTTTTTATCAAAAAACTTTATTTATACGAGTACTATTTATTGTTGGCAAGAACAAATTTTGTGGCTCTTTAAAAACTTTGAAATTTTGTAAATTGTAATTTTTGACTCTTCCGACTCAAAAGGTTGCCGACCCCTGGGCTAAGCGGAAAGCATAGCAAAATCGGCGTCGCACTTAGCGTGTTAATGACGTTAGGTTAGGGTAAGTTAAGTTAGATCAGGGTTTGATATGTGTATTTCACTTTTGCATTAGTGTTTCTATCAACAATTATATAAGCAACTCAAACATTAAAATACGAATATCTCACAAACTGTAAGAGTCCCGTTGATTTTGAAAACAGATATGGAATTCTCGTGAAAAATTGTATATGCACACATAAAGCATTCAACTCGATGGAGGTCATTTAGAAGTATATCCATATTTTCTATGACTGTGTAGCATGAAACTTGTAAATTTGTAAATGTACAGATCAAAATTTTATGTTTTCTCCATTTTGTAAAAAGCTACATTAATAGGAATAAAATGTATTATTTGTTTTGTCCAGAATTTCCTCAGTGTCCTTCTTGAGCGACTATCCTTCAACGAAAAAACCTATCCTACAGAATACATTATTTATTTTATTTCTTTATTAGAATAAATAATTATTACTTACTCATAAATATTTCCGATTTATTGAAAACTTGAGTCAAAAGATTATTTGAAATGGTGCCCGAGTCTGACCGACCCTACGTCTCAAATATAACAATTTAAACAAATTAGAAAACAAAATATATTGATGCCAAATGGTACTTAAAGAGTGGGAATGGAAAGAAATAATTAAATATTACTTTTGATAATGTTAAAGAAACCGTACAATCCATGTCAGGAACCCGACAAATTAGAATGCGGATGAAGGTTACTCCTATAATTTTTATGTACCTCATCGTTATGTAACTTATTTTTTCTATTTATCTATTATTTGTTATAACAGCATATGCCAACAATTTAGGAAATAAAAACGTAGTTAATTTAGATCTAACTATAGATAAATTATAATAATAAAATTAATTGAAGTGTACTTACAAGGAAAGGCACGGAAGAATACCTATGTACTTTAACAATAAGTGTTTTGTAATACAAATTAAATAAAATCAACAGTTATATATAACGTAAATATAATTATTTGTCATTTATGCTTATAAATAACGTTGACTGATAGTGTAATATCGTCCGACATGATCCGGTTTATAATTAATCGTACGACACGCACGCGTAATTTTTATAATAAAAATCTGAGGAATTGTAGGAGGCAATATCGTACATATACAATATACCAATAGATTTGTAATAAAATTGTCATTAAATTTGAATAAATTGTGAAATAAGGTGATAAAAAATTTGTTTATTATAAATAAATTGCATTTTATACAAGTCGTTAACATCCTGTTATTATATGAAAAAAAACCACACAACTTTCCTATTAGAAGTTTTAATGTATCTCATATGGTTTTCGAGATAGCCAAAACGGGTCAAAACTTTATGTGGTCGTTTCACCCCTTAAACCCGTGTCTCAGCCGATAAAAAAAATACGAGTCTCTTATTTTTGCCTGCTTAACAAACGTATGAAATTTCATCAAAATCGAAGAGGGACACTTTCGTGCCTTGTTAGATTATATTCTTTTCTATAAATAATAATAATGAACTAAGGAATTAGCCGTTTATTTTAAAAATGGGGCAAGTCTATTTTTGACAAAAATAAAGATAATGATAACGATGAAAGTTTGGGTTGTCAACGATATTCATTAAGTGGTCAATTAAACGGCTCATTTAGTAATCTAAAGTTAAAATAACAAATTCAGATATCGTATTAAAATTAATTTAAGGAAATTCCACTTTAATAAAAGAGGTGTATATTTATTTCACCATCATGTACACTAATTACATTCACAAAGTATATGTATTTATAGATTAGATTCGTATAATCTACTATATCAACAAAATTAATTTAAATTAATTTTTCCCTCTAGCATTCTACCCACTTCCATTTCCAGTCTTCCTTCTCTGGTTATGTCATCATATGATTGAAAGCCATATTAGGATGAAATGTCAATTTATGAATAGGCAATAATTCGTCAATGAATTTCATTATTATGTTATTAAAAACGTATGTGAACAACGCCTTTTTTTGTCATATTTTTAGTCAAAAATTAATTTATTTCTGTAAATATATACATATATATGTATATGAAAAAATCACAGAATGCAGATAATGTGGAATTGGCACTTTCGTATTATAAAAACAGACATTATAATTGGGTTTTTCTTGCATTTCTTCAAGACAGAAACCTTCAGCGCGTATAATCTTCAGATAACAAGCTTTATGATTTTTTAGGTAATTATGCATTTGGAAAATGTCAATTAGAATGGTATCCTATTACCTGCAGGAATGTTGAATGCACTGTTTCAATTTATTAAACGAAGCCATAAGTTTACTACAGATTTTAATATTTCTTATCTTTATGTATATAAAGGTTTAACGGATTCAACTCACAGACGAACGATGTGTCCATTACACAGGTCCACCATATCGAATCCACTTTGCTTGAAATTCAATGCCAAAATATTCTTTCACATTCTTAGTGCAATTAACACCATTATGCTTAAATCACACTTGTTACTTATGTAAAAAAGGAAGGGATCCCCGAAATCAAGCAGTGTTTGTTTCAGAAAATGAAAATATCATACACATATCAATCAATTTGACAAAATGCCTGTTCAATTTACTTGCAAAAATTCCTGTCTATAGAAAAAATCAAGACGCTTTTCTTATTTCGACACATTGTGTCATAGATATACCATTTTATATTTAAACAAGAATAAGTCAAAATTATAATTATACATATTTGCGATATATTGAATATATTAGATAATACATTATTTATCTTTTGCCTTATTACACATTGCATTATTATACTCATACATTATTATCTTTTGCGACTAACAATTTGGGCAAATATAAGATACTTTAGGCGAATAATGATCCACAATACTGCTCGAAAAACGAAGCAATTTTTATAAGAAAATAATAATGTTAATGCCATGAAATGGTTGACTTAATCACCAACTTTAAATCCCGTCGAAATGTTGTCGAAAAACCACCTAATTTGAATGTTTTTTTCGATATTATTTATAAAACATTCTACTAATGTCAGTCGGTGCATAAAATTTGTAGAATCAATTCCATAGAGATGTACAAAAGTTATTAAGAATAGAGACAAATACTAACTTAAGTTTATAGTAAATATGTATTTGTTAGCGCCAACGTATTTTGGAGGGTCGTTGAGGGCAATTAGCCTGTGCTATTTTGCCTTCTGTCACAGACGCTGATAATGCGGATTTCTCAAACGTGGAGAATCAGCATATTAGAAATATATATAGAGCGAACGCGCAGCGGCGCGAGACTAATAATAATATACGCGAAACGAACTGTTCACCGTTTTGTTTACTGACCAGTGGTAGTTAAGTATTTGTGTTTAGGAGTGTTTACCCAAATTTATTTGTATAATTGTGAATAAATAAAAGTAGTATTTGTCGTTGACGATCTATCAACGGCAAATCGTTTCTTTTTAAAAAAAAGTGTTCTTCATTGAGGACGTGATATAAATAAAATTGGTGGCAGCGGTGGGATCACTCCAGCATCGCCACGAGAGGAAATACAAGTGGCTGACCTGAAACAACGGATACTGACTACCCCGTAAACAACGGAGAGACAACAGCTAGAAAAAGCAACTGTAAGTACGTTCCAATTTACTACTTACAGAAGCGTACCGACATACTCTTCGGACACTAGCTCAGATTCATCAAATTCAATTGAATCCGAAATGGCAACCAATAACCTTGACTTGAGCGATATACACAATGCGGTAGAAGAAGTAGTTAGGGAGACCAGAACTAGTAGACACCCATCGGTCACAACTGACGATGAGGATGTTCTGACACCTAAGGAGGCTATCGAAGTAATACGAGACTTCGATGGAAAGTCACAAAGTGTAGAATCATTTATAGCCGAAATCGACGAAGTAAAGAGACTAGTACCTCGTGAGAAACAAAACTACTTCCTCCGTCTAATAAAAGCGAAAAGAATAGTAGGAACGGTAGCACGCGAAATGGAAGCGTACACCACTGATACGTATAACGAATTCTTCGAGGCACTTCGGTTAATGTACGCTAGTACGCAACCAGTCGAGGTTTGGCAGAATAGTAGATCGCGATGTTTTCAAAGACGAAACGAAACGGTAACACAATACGCTAACCGATTTCTGGAAATCCAAAACAAAGTATTAAGCTGTACAGTAAATTCGGAAGAATCGGTAGAAAACAAAAGGGCATACGCCGAGTATGAGAGAAAACAGGGTCTCCGGCAATTCATATTGGGGTTACGAACAGAATACGCGACCGAAGTAAGAGCACAAGTCCCTAAAAACATTCGGCAAGCAATCGCGATCGCGCAAACCTCCGAATCGCAACAAATGACCCGCGAAATGATGATGCGCCAACTAGAACCACAAAGCGATAGGAGAAACATATCACGAAACGCTATTAACAACAGGGACCGTAAAGATAGACCCACCGACAGACGCGACATACCGACCTGCAATTACTGTAAGAGGCTAGGACACCTAGAACAAGAATGTAGAACCAAAAAATATCACGAAGAAAGATCTAGGCAAACACAAAATTTTCGCAACGCCCAATACCCAAAACCACCGGATCGAGTCCACGACATCCAGACGGACCCGGACACCCCTCTAGAATATACGCTGTTGGAAACGGAAAAAGAACAATTAGACTAAAATTCGACGAGATGACCCAACCGGCTTCATTCTTAATCGATTCCGGAGCTTCGGTGAGTCTTTTAAAAAGAAAATTCTTCTC